GCAAGACATAGCAACGGATACAGTGATAACTGATACCGATATTCTGGCGCTCACAGAAACGTGGATGCACAACAATGAAAATGTAAATTTTGAAGGTTATAAATGCATCACGTGACGAACAAAGAGCAGGCGAAGTGGCTATCTACGAGAAACATGGAGCAACTATCATGGCTACCCCACATCTGTTGATGAAGATACCTAAGGAGGATGGAGAAGATTACAGAATAGTTGCAGCTGAAAACAGAGGTGATATCTGTGCGGCAGAGTGTATGGCCAATGGTGAAAAAGTTTTAATTGTAACCACACACCTATTGATGATTGTAAGAGATTTATTTTGAGTCATTTGAGAAATTATACAAAGATGACTGAAGATCCTAACACAATGCCGATAATATTGACAGGAGATTTTAATATTGATTTAAAGAAGGAATTTATGGAGGAAACGTTTGGTTTAATGTTGATGTCAAATTTTGAATGTAGTACTACTAGATCAAAATCTTGTATAGATATGGTGTTTGATACTCTAAAATGTACAAATTTTATAACATATTTCAGCTATCACAGACCAATCTTAAGCGTAACTAATTCAGGTTAAATAAGCAAAGTCTTATTCAAAATTTACTCAATTGTAAAGCATGTATAAAGGTAATATTTAGAATAAAGCCAATATATAAACTTCCTTTCCGTATAGACGTATTTACGTCTAATTCTCCGGAACCGTGGTTCCACTGTAAATTTTTAGCTGTCTGAAGAGTGTTCAATAAGTAACATTCTGAAATGAGTTACAGTTGTTTAATAGTTTGACATTCGTGTCCAACACAACAATTATTAATGGACAACCGTCTTTTTTTTAACAATCCAGGGTGCGTTAAAATCGTATTTACATGTTTGACTTAGGTGTCCAGCACAGCAATTGGACGACCTTCTTTTTTTATTTGAATGTGTGTTAACATCATATTTACTGTTTAATTTAAATCAGTCATACACAAGCCCAGTTATCCAGTGAGTTGTCGGATGCTTTTGTGACACGCTCCGAACACTTGATAGTATCCAAGGTTCTCCATGCTTATAGTGCACTGCCGACCGCCCATGTAGTGAATCCTGGCAAAATCATCACAGTCTATATTTCCATTACCATTACAGTCCTGAAAGGAAAGAATATGTATTATATAGAAGGCAGTGGCAACAAAATTTCTGTCCACACTGGTGATTGAATCCCAGTCTCCTACTCTGTAGCGAGGCAATTTACCAGCAACTATTCTGGCTTATTCGTCTTAGGTACAAGAATAACAAATTGTTAACTTATATTTAAAAAAAATTGATAAAATATTCTTGTTTTGAAAGTCACGGCAGGTCAGATGACTGAACAATCATGCATCGTGGTGAACGTTCCTGTGACAGTTGCAAGTATATTGCTGTTATTCTCTAAACTTACCTGAGCATATCTTGCCAAATAGTGACGTACCGTTGCAGCTGCGCAGTAAGGCTCGGTGACGCATCTAATGTACGCTGTAAAAAAACATAATGGAAGCCTTTAAAATAATAGTTTGGCCTAGTTCCTTTATTGTGTAAAATTCATTGTAGTGCCCCATTGACATTTATTACTGTTATTTTATGATAAGACATTACAGAACTGGACTTTAAGTGTGCAGTTTAGTCTTCAACTTTTTGCATCATATTTCTTGCTTGAGTGAGTAACACCCACGCAATACACCTGTTTTCCGTTGAAGTAAATTCCTCCCTTGTGGGCTATTTTGACCTCGTATACTATTACAGACATTGTTAAGTTTAGCAAGATTTTGCCATCAAGATCATAACTACAGCATTTCGTTCCAAAATGATTCGAATGTATGAATATAATTTTCAATCACGGTAAGAAATGTCTCTCTCTGTTTTCCTGCTATTGAATTCACCCATTAC